TTTGGGGACAAAGAGAAAGAGGCTGGAAACCACAGCGTTTTAGTAGGCGCGCTGCGCCGTCTTCTCAGAAAGTTCAAGGAAGCGATACTGGAGCCTATAGTATACCGCCTCACGACATGCCGGGTCGTAGTCGTGTTCTACACAACACTTTTTTTGTGTCATATGTTGAAAACGATCCGAAAAAAAAGAAAGGAATTTAGGGAAGTAGTGGTGGTTGACTTGTCAGCAGGCAATGAAACAGACGATTGATGCTGTTCTCTGCTGTCGGTGTACAACACGTTGATGAATGTTTTTTAGTTGTTTGACCTGTGAGAATGGCCCTCTTATCTTCGAGATGGAGTGTCATGTTCTGTGATGTTTATCTCACAGATTCTGCTTTACCATTGTTGAGCGATACTGTGCACGACCAGTAAAAGTATTTGTTCAGTTTGTTTGCGATTTGGTCCCTTGGTTTCATCGGCTTCTCTGTTTCGATCCTGACGCGTGGCATGAATTCTTACGTATTGGTTTTGTGTGTCTGTTCGTTAAGAACATACCTTTTTGCTCGCAGCGACATTGTTTTTTGCTGGGTGCCACATCGCTTTTTCTCTTACCGGGTTAGCCGCTATCGCAGCCCAGTTCGTACTTTTCCCGCTGAATGCGCTTTTATTCATCTCCACACACATACAACCAAGCAAGCGCACCGATTTTCTTTGAGTGTTTGACTGATCCTCTTGGTACTGCTCGTTCATACCTGGTTGGAGTACTGCCCCGTGGCCGATCCATCTTTCTCGCCATTTCCCGCTATTTCCCGCCAAAATGCGCACATAAGAGGTAAGCACAGGCCCGGCGTATGCCAATCAAAAAACTTTCAACCGACACGATCAAAATATTGCAGGCCCAGAAGTACGTCTTCGACTACACCAAGATACTGAAGGAACTGATCGAAAACTCCTTGGATGCCAAGGCAACACGCATCGTGATATGTGTGACCAAGAGCATAGAGGTATGTGATAACGGCACCGGAATGGAGTCCGAAATTGATTATTTCAAAACAACCAAGGAGACTGAGCTGGTGCTGGGCGGCATGAATACGGAGTACTACGGGTACAAAGGGATATTTCTAAGCAGCCTGCGGGACATCTGCGATTTGGTGATTGTCACGAAGCGAGACGATGAACAACTGGCGAGATGCATCGATTACAGGCACGGAACAATGCAAAGGATGGCAAGAGAGAACGGAACAACGGTGTTGATTAACAATCTGTTCAAGAATTCTCCTGTCAGAAAAAGTGCCTTGAAGCTCAAAGTACCAGAAATAGTGAAAATGCTCGAGGATTTTCTGGTTTTCCAGAATGTTTTTGTTCGTTTTGTGGTGAACGATAGGAAAATATTTGAAAAGCACGGCACCACGCTTTCTCAATTTGTGTCCGAGAATGGTCTGCACACGATTCGTGGAAAATCCTTTGATTTCCTTTACAGCCTGGACAGGCTAAAGAATCCGCTCATGTTAGTTGGCAAGCGCATCATTACGAATCAAAAGCTCGTAAAAAGACTTAAAACCACGCTCAGCCTGTTTTTTAAGGACAGAGTGTTCTATGTTCTGCTGTTGAAGGACGTTCAAGTCGACATACTATCGATCGACAAGCTCGAAGTTCTGCTCGATGACGATCTCATAGATGATATAATTGGCACGTTGGAGCTGACATTTAGCGATGCTCGCCTTTTTGAGCACAGTGACAAAGTGCTGGGCCAGTGCCCTCGCGAATCCACTGAGAAGAACGTTCAAATACACGGGCGTGAAGAGCAGATACACAAAAAGTTGCGAGTGAATGCCGGTGAAACGGAGAATAAAACGTTAATATGGGGAGATACCCTCGTCAATGTTTTCAAACCATCAATCACGGAAGAAGATAAAGAGGCGGCAAACTCGACGATGAATTTAGCATTTGAAGCGTCCTTCGATCCGAATTCAAGCGATAATAAGGAAAACGTACCGCAGGACAACCTAGCAATATACGAAATATTTAATAAAGTGGCGGTAAACGTTGATAAAGATATTCAGGTGCAGAAGAAGGACCTTAAAAACGTGAGGGTCATAGGACAGTTCAACCAAGGATTTATCCTCGGTACACTGAACGGTTACCTCATGATATTTGATCAACACGCGGTCGATGAGATCTACAATTTTGAAATGATCAAGAAAAACATAAAATTCAGCAAACAAAGCCTTCTCAAGCCAATCAATGTACAAGACAGCAGCATGCTCTTGTCGGACGATTCGTCCAGTCCGAACCGACTTGATCAAGCCATGCTCACCAACCTGAACAGGTTGTTTGAAATAAAAGAAAACAAGCTCACGGCATCACCTTCCTTCAACAAGCACCTGTTTAACATCAATGATTACATGGAGCTGGTTTCTACCGGAGAGGTGTCATCGCTCACCAATAAAATAGCATCCAAAGCGTGCAGAATGTCGATAATGATTGGTGATAAACTTAATATGTGCACAATGAATAGAATAATCTACAATCTTAGTGAGTTAGATAATCCATGGAACTGTCCGCACGGTAGACCAACATTCCGTGTCCTATATAAGCTGTGAGAGCGCGTATTAAATTATTTTCATTTCTTTGTGTTAATTCGTGTGTTGATTGAAAACAAGTAAACCAACTAAGCGGGTATGTCATCCAAAACTTGTGCCGTTACCTGTAAGTGAACCGTTTTTCGTATTCAATGCACCTCCATTTATGAGCAGTAGCGATGTGAACGGTAGAATAACTGAACAGGTCGTTCGTACTTCGTGTTAAATCTTCAGTTCAACACTTCCAGGTTTCATACGCAACTATTTCCGAACCGTCCTAGGTACTCGTACAAATGCCATTTATTGATCACAGTTGCCCTGTTGTTTGACCTTTTGTTGAATGGCAAGGCAATGAGCACACCTTACGGATGTTAGCAGTTTGTATTGAGTTGTTGCTTCTTTTCATTCCCTCAAATCATCCTTACACGTATGTTAGCGGAAATGGGAGCCTCTCCAAGACAACGAAGATAAATCATTCGTTTACTTCTTTATACTTGCTAATGCTGTTACATCGTGGTTTCTCGGCGTTACCCACGGTTCCCGAATGAAATTCTAAGAAAAGATGTAAAAGATGGGATAAGAGACAATAAAGAAAGACCTCATGTCCTTTTCATCATACGGATGTACACCAATCAACAGGACTGTGATAACGATTAATTGAGACAGTGGCACAGCACCGCTTGAGAGGCTAAGGCGAGTAGAGCATTCGCTACCCTCTTTCTGGTGGGAAGATTGATCAAAATAACTTACACCGCAACAAACCGTTCGATCTAATGGCAGGCTCGCCAAGATACTGCGGTCTAAATTGTAGATTCTGTG